ATGTGCTGGGAAAGTACACAAAAAGTGCAACATCTCTGCAAACGTTTAGAAGTGAAAGCCAATTCTATGCAGTAAGATTTGGATTTGTTAAAAACAGCCGTAAAAAGCCTACCAAATTCAGAAGATATTGTCTTTGATGCCCCAGAGCAAACCAAGTGGTTTACGGAAAGAGAAAAAGAAATTGTAAATATTGAAAAGTGCCTGCCACTGAACGAACGCAGAGAATTAAAAATGGCAGCCATTTGTGGTCTCGGGGGATGTGGAAAGAGCACTCTAGCTTCTTACTTTGCTTGGAAACGTAAGCAAGAGTACGAAGGAGGTGTGTTTTGGTTCTCTATGGAGGACGACAGAAAGTTTGAAAGCTCTGTAAGTGACCTCGCTCTGCGTTTAGGTATTGAGGCAAATTCATTTGATTTGACGCTGCCCAAACTTCTTATGTGGATCACCAAGCTGGAAAAACCTTGTTTGATGGTTCTTGATGATGTCGACCAACTAAAATTATCCGAACAAATGCACATGATTCTGTCTGGTCGGTGGAAAAGGCGAGCATGCGGTCACATCCTACTTACAACAAGACGTGAATCAAGGGAAGTGTTTAATTCGGTGGATCTTGAACAATCTTCCTGTGTTGAGGTCTTCTCCTTTTCAAAAGAAGAAGCCAAGAGGTTTCTTCGTGTCCGATGTGGTGCCACCAGCACAGGAAAAGAGGTGGAGTAAGATGAGCTTGTGGGTGAGCTTGGTTGTCTTCCTCTTGCATTAGAACAAGCTGGTGCACACATCAAAGCCCTTCAGTGCTCAATCGCGGACTATCTTGAAGCGCACAAAACTCAGTGAGTGCAGTTATTAAGTGAGCATCCTTGAGCAAAACCATTATGGGAGTATGAGTCACAGAACCGACTTGTAGTGCACACCACATGGCTTTTAAACTTTGAGTACGTTAAAAAAATCACCGCAAGGCGAATTAGCATCTAAATTTTTAGAAGCCTTAGCATTTTTTGCACCAAATGAAATTCACGAAGAGTTAATTAACTGTAAGCTGCTTTCCACCAATATAACTTGTAATTTCCCCTTGGTAAAAAGTCAGATCGTAGACATTTTGACCAAATTCTCTCTTTTCCAAAGGAAGAGCCACAAATCTCTTGGGTTGCACCGACTTGTTCAGGAAGTAATTTGCACCAAAATGACTCTTCAAGAAACTGTCACCTCGATACTTACGGCGGCAAAACTGCTTTATCAGGCTTTTCGAGATTGCCCATCACCAGACGAAGTCGTTGTTTACGTCACATTAAGTGAGCAAAAACAACCGTGGGTGCTCTTAACAAACCAATCTCATTTCTATTGGTAGTCAAAACTAACCACACATGCTTCTGAGCTGCAGAAACATCTAAAAACATTACTGTTTGAGCAAAACATTGAAAAAGAAATCAAAACAGTCGCGTTAACACGAGAGACTTCTCGAGTTATTTATGAAAATGCCGTTCAACTAAGTGTTCATGAAAATCAAGCGGAGGCTAAGGAAGCCGAGCGATTCGCACTTTATATTTTTGATTCCTGCTCAAGTGCTGAAGGGCGCGTTTCTAACGAAGATTTAACTAAACTATTTCCACACGTTCTACCTCTTCCTCACGTGATTAAAAAAACGGTTTTGTATTCATCTCGACGCCCAGTGAAGTTTCCCAGGCTTGCAGAAAACGTTGTCGAACACAGCCAAGCCCCTGATAAAACGCTTCGTTTACGAGGAAATACCCTATTTAAAAAGGGATGTTATAAAGAAGCCGTTCAAATTTACACAAACGCCCTTGAAGCATACGAGGAAGGGAAACAACCAGATCCCCGTTTGCTTAATAATCGAGCAGCTGCATATCTTAAACTGGAAAAATTTCAACAATGTTTTCAAGATTCCGAAGATTACATTAAGATTCTTCCCACTTGCTGGAAGGGATACACGAGGAAAGCATTAGCTCTTAACGGACTTGGATTGCGTTTGTCCGCCATGTGTTCTGCAGCTATCGTGTATTGTCATGATGCAAGCTGTTGTCGTCGTTATGAGTTATTTTCCGTCGAGTTTAAAGACCTGGATGGAAATTGGGAAGTTGTTGATTCCTCTGAGACCCTCAAGTACTCTCTGAGTAAATATCAAGGATTTTATTCAAGGAAAATAATCCTTCTTAAAAATGCACAATATGATTTAAGCGACGTCGATAAAATTGCAGATATCACATTAGCTGCTCTTGAGAGTGAGTCAGATGTCACCATTAAATGTAATGAGCTTGTTATGAACAATGAGTATTTTTTCCAAAACATCACTTTTCACCAAGGTTTACAGTTTCTGTTCACACAGACAATAGTGTGGAGTTCTACAAATGCAGTTTTGCAAGCCCTGCATCACAAGAAGTTGCGTTATCTATTCAAAATGGATTCGCGACGTTCTTAGAATGCCAAGTCAGAGACTGCAAAGGAGGTGGAATACTCATACGAGGACCCACCTCTTCAGCTGCAT